CTGTAGATCAGATGTTGTGTTAAAATCATTAAGAGAATAATAATTTCAATATAAAAAAATAATATTATAAAACTGAACTTTTTAATTTTAATGGTAAATAAATGCCTATACCGTATTAAATATATATTGTTATTGATATGGATAGTTAAAAACGTTTGTATATTTAACTTAGCCTAAAAATAATTAAACAAATGAAAATTTTAATCAAGTAATAGTCCATTTTGACATTTTTGGGCTTTCAATTTTTATTTTTAGGTCTTAAATATTTTGTAGAAATTATTCTATTATTCATCAAACACTAAACTTCTCTAATATTAAATTACTTAAGATATTAGAACTTTGTTATCTTCCTTTAAAACATGCTCACATAAGCCATAAATCTGTTATAATAGTTTGAATGGAATGAGAAATATTAGGATCCAAAATTATTTGCAGCTCACAATAAACTTTCAGATTTACTACAACTTTAATATTATAATAATACTACGAATGAAAACATTTAAGGATATTACAAAGTATGTTAAGATATTGTAATATTTTCTTTATTATTATAAATAGTTAAGATCTCATATAATTTTATGATTTATTTTGNTTTTCTTTATTATTATAAATAGTTAAGATCTCATATAATTTTATGATTTATTTTGTTTAAATTAATAGATAATTGTTACAGTAATATAATTTTCGTTTTTTTTTTTTTTAATAATATCATAAATATTTACCATTTGGGTGTATTAAATATAATGACATAGTAATAATTATTAACTAATAAATATTAGGTAATTATCTCTTGTGAACAATATAGAAATATGTATTTCATTGAACATTTTAAAAACAAAATTAAAAATTAATATTTAAAATATATTTAATTATTTCAAACATATATTTTGCTATAAGCATATTTTTTTCTTTCATGCTATTTTTTTAAATACTTTTTGTGCAAGTATTTAGTTTAATATTCAATTATCATTCCCATTTATTTAATATAGTATTAAAAATATTAAACATTTACAGTACCATCGTACTACTATAATTTTTATCAATAAAATGTACAAATGTATGAGTATAAATTAATAAAAAAATACATTGGCATAAATAAAGTCACGTAAATTATTGAACATTANAGTCACGTAAGTTATTGAATCTTAAACAATCGTTTGTAATTATTATTAACTATGAAATAATGTAAATAAAATTAATATTTTTGTTTTTAAAAATATAAATATAAATATTAAGAAGATATAATGATGAATATGTGAATCTAAATAACTAATTATCATTTGCTGCTAATTTACATCGGTTTAAATATAAAATTCGGACAAATAAAATTGGCGCTTACAAATTATTATGCTACTCTTTTTGGAATAGACATTGGTACGGGCAATAAATCTGATGACAACATTTGCGTTGGTGCTGATTCAGTTACAACATTGTAAGTTCCAGCCGATCTCTGCTCGTTCAAATCGGCCGGCTTGGCAGTTATCGGTACTTTTGGCATTTTACCTGTTGTAACGTAATCTTGTATAAAATTGTAGCAGATGGTTGACAACATTTCACCTTCAAATATAAGAGGCATCAATCTTATCATTTCCATTGCGTCTTCGTCTTCATTGGGACGAATTGGATCAGCAGAGAATAAACCTCGTCTCTGTCTGTCATAGTATCGCCTACGCATTGGCGGTACTTGTTGTGGTGGATAACCGAGTAGTCCAATGTTGGGGTTAGGTGTTGTCAATTGATATTCAAAGAACTGAGGGTAGTTTTTGCGACGTAAAACTAAAAGCCACGGTAGCTTTGAAGAAACGGCTACCAAAAGCACCGAAATAGGTATTTTAATTTCAGTAGTTTTAGGGAACTGCAATTGGGCAACAGTGTCTGGTGTAACGAGCACAGCAAAGTATTCGATGTCTTCCTCCTCCTTCACGGAAGGCTGACCGTTATTTACAGCTATTGGCTGTTGTATTGGCTGTTGTCCTATTGATCCTCTTACTTCTTGGATTCCACCGTTGGTAATAAATGCATCGTACTCTCCTTTTTCTTTATCCTGTTCTTTGATAATAAACACGGGGCCCTTGTAGTTGGCTATTTGATTGTGTGTCCCCACTTTTTGAGCTACTTGAGGTCTCGAACTTCCAGATAATCCTGAGAAAACATTTTAAGTAAAATTAAAAAAAAACGTTTTCTCTGATTTTAGGAATATTCTACTTAAAATTAGTAGGTGGTGAAACCATAATTTTTTTTTATTTTTGTAAAAAGTTATAATTATAAAGTTATAAAAAATTATTTGACTATAATTAATTAAACATTACGATGAATGTTCAGAAGCTAACTATTTGGGAGGATTATAATTCCCTAATTCTCTCATGGTTTTGTGTTTGTTATTAATAAATTAAATATAAACAAACGTCAATAAATTATGTAGAAAAAATGTCCGTTGCTCGAATTAGCTTACAAATTATTTTTAATTAACTTATAAATGAGAAGAAGTGATTTTTATGTGCTATAGAACTTACATAAAATGGATTTTATTGTTATAAAATTTATTAAATATACAAATAAAATAACAGAAAATAATTATAAAAATAAAATAATAGAAAATAGTTGTAGACAAATAATATAAAATAAATAAAGTAAAAAAATGTTAATAAAACTAATTATCGATGACAATCTAATTTGAATCGACTCCACTTTTTTATAAAACATTTTTTCTCTGGAATCGAATTTATAATAATTAAGATTAACTCATAATAAATCAAAGTGAATTCAAAATAAGTCTGTAAAAGCTCTTGGCGTGATAACTGAACTGAAACATTTTTTTAAGAGATTATCTTACAAAAAAAAAACTATTCTATTCTAGCTACATATTTGATCAAAAGAAAATTTAAATTAACAAAGCGATATAAATATCATCCAGATTCGTTTTTTTCGTTAATACTTTATATATTTAAATAATTTATGTTTCATTTTTGACTAGGAACTCCACATTTTATTTTTGTTCAAGGTACTTATATGCAATTTGCGTCTGTTCATACAGTTATTTATATTCATAAGGTAAAATGAAATATTTTATATTTTTATTTTTCTTTTACGGCTAATATAAGTTTTTTTAATATATCAAATTTTGTCATCTATAATAGTAAATAATTATTATGTTAATTATTATTGTCTTAATTATTATGTTTACACGTCGTATGAAAGATTTTAACATAGTTATCTTTTTTTGTATTAGGATGTTATTNCATAGTTATCTTTTTTTGTATTAGGAAGTTATAATACACAAATTACAATTGCTTAGTTACATTAAAGAACCATAAATTTGTACGCAAAATAAATACCTAAATTATAAAATAATTTTTTTATATACCTGGTATTTTGAATGCTGTCGTCAAATTCACCAAAACTGAGGTTGAAATCATTAATATAAAAAACGTAGTTCTACAGTGGTCCTTCATGTTGATTGTTTGGGAAGTCACTGAGTCTGTGGCTGATCAAGAGAGGGTTCTTAAATACCCTTATAACCGAGGGTGCATTATTGTTTAACTACCCAGTATTGAAGTAGCCTCCGGTTTTTCATGTTTCTTTGTTATTTTTACTGCAGGTATTTGTTATTATATTTTTACGCATTCACATACCGAAAGAACGTCATAGATAAGAGTTCATCATTTGTCTAGACTACTTTAGTGGGGGTGTCTTGGACGCAAGGTGCCAGTGCACATAATAAACTAAACTGAAATTCCAAGAAATATCCGCAACCTTGAACTGAGTTTTGGGGTGAATTAAATATTTTATTGTATAAAAATACCACTGTTACTCATAATAATGACAATGAATCATATAAATTACATTCCATGTGTGATATACTAAAAAAAAATTGACTGTTATTATATAAGTGCTCGCTGTAAAAACAATAAAAATATTAGACATTATACAGCAGTACGTTATAACATGTTAAATAAAAATGTAAAACTAGTCTGAATATTATAAAATATATAGTGAACAAAATAAGTTATAGATAAATTTAAGTTTTATAAGACTACTATCTTTATCACATACTACAAAGAAACATTAAGAGTTCAATCCATTGGATACATTCTATAGATATAGTTTATCATTTCCGAATACTTTCGAATAAATAAGCTCCATCAGTAATGAAATTTTATCTCTCAGACATGTAAATAAAGTAATTTTGTAAATGTATGATGCATAAGTTTAATGGAAAAATTGAAAACACTTATGTTGACATTTAAATATGTTACGATAAATCAAAATTCCGTTCAGCCATAGGGTCTTTCGATTTTTTGTGCTTACATTCAATATAATAGGTTTATTTACGACTAGATGAAATTATTAATTTTTTATACAGACATCAGAAGTTATTTTATATTTATAGTTTTAATACATACTTCTGAATTTCAATAGATCTTTAATTGTTTGATAATCAGTTGGAATACTCTAATATAATTAACTAAAATACTTTTGTTTACTTTAACAGCTAAAAATAGTATAAAAAATGGAAAGTAATTTTATGAAATGTAAGATAAAAAACAAAAGGTCATCATAAATCTTTATAAATTTCATAGTCTGTACGATATTTTCTTTAGATGCATTCAATGAAGATTTTCAATTAATAAGAACAATTGGTCGAAGTCGACAGCCAAAAGGAAAATCCGAGTTTTACGTCATTAATATTTTTGTTAAGCAAAACACAAAAGCTCTTCCGATCGGTTTTAAAAATATTAGTTTAAAAATATTTAAATGATGATGTTTACCTCAACGACTAAATAAAAACTTACATTACAGTAAAATAACATAATTTTCTCTTGATAAAATAAGCAAAGTCTTTCGATTACAATAAAGTTATTTGAATTAATAAATTGTTTTACATTAGTGGCTACGCAATATAAGTATATGCTTTAAGTCAACAAAATATAGAACTAAGTATTTCATACTGTTATTTAATGTTTTTTTTCGAGTCTTGTTTGCTCTTTGTAATTTAAGGATAATTAATTAGGTTATGTCACACTGATATGCATTCTTAAAGTTTGCGATTGAGGTGTGTACAACATACATACAATATAGTGTATAATACTATGTTTGATTAAATTAACTTAAGTTCTTTTAGAATTTCATTCAGCTTATTCCATTAGCTATAACTTTCTCGAGTACTGCAATATTATCTGTTCATTCGAGCACGTATGGTTTAGCTGTTTCTGGTCTTTCTTCTTCATTGTCAATGAAGACATCAAGATCCTATTCCATTAAGATTCCGACAAATCAAGAGTTTTTAGTAGATTGGCTTTATAATAAAATGACAAAAGCTTCTGATGAAATTAGATTGTCTGTTTACTTATAAAATCGTGTATGTACAGTAACTCTTGAAATGTTTGCAAAATAAATAGAAAGTCTACATTTATATTTTCTTTTTATAAAACTATTACTTGTTATTTTCATTTTACATCATTAGATTTTTACCATTACGATAATATAAAAAGCCTCTGGAAAAAACTGCATTAAGGTGACACAATTATCTTTGATTCTTAATGTAAAACTTTTTTGTATATTTTCAAATCGTAGTTAATAATGACTAATGTATTTGATGTTTATTTTATTTCAATTTTTAAGTACTAAAAAATGAATACTTTTGTAGGAATTTTTTCTTTTTATAAATTTTGATAAATATTATGTTAAAATAAACATATTGAATAAATTTTAGTAGAGGGAAACTCTGATTGTATTAACAAAATTAACTGTAATTATTATTTTGAAAATTACAACTAAGTTTAATGAAAAAAAAGACGTATAATTATAATTGAATAGAATTTTTTTTTTTACTATTTTTTAAAAGCAAAATGAAAAAACAAATTTTTTGCGTTTTTCACTATATTTTTCGATTTAATCACCTTGACTTTTCATTATTTTTAACAATAAGAAATAGGTCATATATGAACTATCTCTTTATAAAATTAATATATTTTATCTTTATGATTTTACAGACATCCCGGGTACTTGATTTTGTTAGAATGTTTGTACTTACATAATATATTAATTTAAAATAAATTGTCGAGAAAAAAATTTACAACAATCTTTAACTTTAGAAAAATGAATATTAATGTAAACGGAGAAAGTCAAGTCAAGAAAGAAATATGAATTATATTCAAAGTTAAATAATTTTATTTAATGTCCACAATATTCCAGTCGTGACTGTAAAAATTATATCAATAAAATCAGAATATTTCTATATAATACCAGTGTTAACTAAACTACAACACTTTTCCGACGGTCGGTATTGACTACCGTCACAATATTACTACAATACAATTTTCAATTTCTGTTTTACTCAGGTTTTATAAATTTGTGTGAAATAATAACAAAAAAAAAGTCATTATTTGTACGATTTTTATAAAACTTAAAATTACAGTAAAAACTATATATATTCTATATAATTTCATAAAATTTTATTGCTATCTTTTGTAAGTGGTAACAGTAAATCTTGAACTATATTTTAGGTGTAAAATCACATAGAAAAGGAAGATGGGAGGNGTAAAATCATATAGAAAAGGAAGATGGGAGGTTTGATTTGATTGATGTTCACTGCGAACTCTAAATCGTTTGGTTTATCCTTGTTTTGACCGATTGTACGATTTGTTAGAAATGTTTTTTTCATTACACATTGAACACGGCAAACAATACTGCTGAAAATAAGAGATAAAAACTATTTTTTTAAATTCGAAAAGTAATGGTTGTAAACTATTTGTAGTCCATTGCTTTTAAAAATAATTTTTTCTTGTGTGTTCAAACATATTTTATTGTTGTCTCTAGGACTTTGGATTCATTGGAATACGTCAATGCATCGAAGTAAAAATTTAAATATTATATGAACTCCATCGAAGTTATATTATTAATATTAATCTAAAATTTTAAATGTAGTAGTTTTAGTTTTGATTCATAACTGAGAATGTATTGATTTTGTGATGGTGTGTGTCTTATTTTTAAATCTATACATGAAAGTTGTCAGCTTTCAATCAACTGATTTTAACTATCAATATGTCAAAAGAACATCATTTTAGTTTTGCTGAACCTATCAGCTCCTATTTGAAAAAAAGACCATCGAATTTTTAGAAATTTAATAGTATAGATCAAAATTATGCTACTATATAAATATGATTTTTAAAAAATTGTCCTGCGTTTTAAAACCGATGTAACTTTTTTTTTACAGAATCAAATAAAATTTTAATAGATTATACTAAAGATAATAAGCACACTATTGGTATGCTTTCTCTGAAAATCTGATCAAAAACTTAAGTACAGGATAGGTTTGAAATATTGTATCATAAAACAAATAAATTAACGAAATTTTAATTTTAATTTTAAGTAAAATTTTAAATCATGGCAATTGAAAAATTACAAACTATTGTGCATTTTTAAACATATAAGCATCGAAGTGTTTTTTATGGTAGTGATATTAATCACTGTCAGATATCACGTATATTTAAACCATTGTTATTGCCTTTTTAAATTTTAATTAAATGTTACATTTGAAATGCATATGTAGTGTATCTCTCCTAGTAATAATATTAAAACATTTTTTTAATGAATATAATTTTTTCTAAAGCTTAAAGATCAGTTAATAATCTATCGTTAGAATAGTTATCATTTTAAATTATAACTTATAACATTTTAAATATATTTACTTTATAGATTATACGTTATCAATAAGAAATTTAAAAAAAGGTAAAAATTCAATAGTTTAATATTTATTTTATGTTACAAAATTTCAAAACACATTTACTGAACGATAAAATATCAAGTCAATTTTATTTCCAACAACTATTCTATTTTTTTGTTAGATAATTCTCTAGTTATATATTTTATAAGTGGTTTGAAGTCATAAATATTTATTATTATAATGAATTGTATGCATATAAAATAAATTTAGATACTTTAAAAGCTTTAATCNATTCATATAAAATAAATTTAGATACTTTAAAAGCATTAATGAAGTATTTACTGAAAATATTCTAAAAAATACCATTAAAACGAGTACATCAAATGACTAAAAAACTTTAAATGTTTATTCTACAAACATACATAGTTGGAAATTCAAAAAATCAAAGAAAATGTAGAATAGGCATAATAGCTGTATCAATGTGGCCATTACATTATTAGTTACATATAATATATGTATAATACAAACCAAACAAATAATAACAGACTTGACACGCTCGTAATTGCCAACAAACTATCGTCACTTAACGTATGAGTAGATGTAAATATTACCTGCTTATTAGCAATATATCACAATAGCAAGAGATAAAAAAAATTATTTTTATTAATAGCGCAATAACTAATAAAGTTATACCTAGTTTTATTTAGTTTGGAGATTATTATGGCCATATGGATAACCAAGAAAATTATTATGCAAGTTGGTTGTTATAATATAACACCTGGACTGTGAAATACAAGAGAAAAGTATTCATTTAAACGAAAAGTATAAATGTTTATAAAAAGTCATTTAAAAAACAAAGAAATGCATAAGTTTTAAACGGGATCCCGTTATTGAGATCTCAATTTAAAAAAACTAAACCAATTTCGCAAACAAAAAATAATAATGATAATAATAAAAGTACATTTAAAACACCATCACAGCAGTATGCATTATT